ATTGCATATTTTCACCCCTCGGAAAGCATTGTTGACCTCGGCTTCGCCTCGGTCAACAATGCTTCCTTGGGGTGAAAATATGCAATATCGCCCTCTCATGAATGTGATATTTATATAATATACCTAGCAGCCACTTACTAGAAAACATTTCTTAACTTTACTCCTTAAAAAAAAAACATTTCACAGTCTGTGCAATGGGAAATTTTAAGATTTTAATATCAATTTCAACCTGTTATCAAACAAAATGATTACACTAGCGTAAGATAAGATTTGTTAATATGTTTTCTTTTTGTGTTTTCAGCAACTGAAAGAATCCGGAGAACTGGAGAGTATATTAAAGGAAGGACAATAGACTATCCAGGAGTGATAACAGTGGAACTAACTGTGACCAACTATATCAGAACTGTAGATCAAGTAGGGGAGGGGAGGGGGGGGAGGGGAGGGGGCAATTCACAGCTCCAGGTGTTACAAGTCTCATACCAGTAACTCGGTCTTCTTAACATTACTACAGCACATGTGTAAACCCAGGACCTTTATTACAATCAGGTGGTAGTAACATTGAGAAAGATCTGGACCCACAGTTAAACCTGGATTATTAAATGTAAAAACATTCACATTTAAAATTGACGTTTTATGTTTATCCGTTTTTGTTTCCATTGTAATGTTTTCTGTTTATTTCACTCTGTTATCTCAAATATCTTGTCCATCTCAAAAGTGTTTCCAAAAAAACTTCAAGCATTACCAGATGTGGCTACAAACAAAGACTTACTCAAGCGTGACTTGACAGAAGTACAGCCAAATGGATTGTGTACAGGTACTGGGAGTACAGGGATCATCTGTATGGAAACAGTTTATATATTTGTAATGTGTTTCAAATATATCCAGTAATTTGAAGATACTGGAACATTTATTAATCAAAAGAAGCACAGAACTTCGTGTTCAGTATAAATGACTGTAATGTGGAGATGTTCGTGTTGTGAATCTTTACACTGATCGCGGTGTGGACATTTTTGCTTTGACATTGGTTTTGAAACCTAAAAACACGTTATATATAAATCTGTAATAAAAAAATATGCCTGAACTCGAAAAAATGTGATAATTTTCACATTGAAAAATGGCCCTTTTACAGTTTTTGGTATGTGTAAAGGGGAAAGGACATCAAATATAAACATTAGACGTCAACAGTTGAATTTGTGACCCTACACACAGAGGTATAAGATAAAATACAGAAAGTTTAGCCATTGAAATGGTCTTGAATAACAGAAAACCATGGAGAAATCACCGTTTACCAGGGTATGTATTTTTGTATGACAGAAAATTGTTTGGATTAACAAATGAAATCCATATAACATTGTTACATGTGGAAGTACCCTGTCTCATGGCTCAAAAGGAGGGTTTTCATTTGTCGAATCCTTGCAATGTCAAAATGTTTTTATATTTATTTTGCAATTTTGAGTAAAGCCAATGAAATGCTGTCTTTGTGATTGCCACTTGACATACCAACAGTAGATTTGATCATTTACATATTTTTACCTGTTCTCTTGTAATTTGTGTTAGAGTTGGGAATAATTATTATACAATTATGGACTTCAGGTGGTCTATCCCTGATTTAGTCTGAACAATATTCTCTGAGGGTGAAAGATTGAAGGGCTTAAATACAAAATAACAAACACAATTTCTGATTCAATTCATGTGATATTTGATTTCAAATAAACATCATTTGCACAATCGACATCATCAATAACATCACATAGTTCAGAATTTGATGAGATAATTAATTTGTAGTTGAATTCAGCAGTGTGATTTGTAACAGATTTACAGACTGGCTGGGAAATTACCTAGACCTACTATTAGTAGTGGTCTGTAACACTTTTCTATTTAAGGTCGAGGTCTGTAACACTTTTCTATTCTATTCATAGAACGAGGTCTGTAACAGATTTATAGACTCGTCACATGACGTCGCTCCTCCAATCAGGGCTAGGAATCAGCACCAGTCATATAGTAATATTTATTAGAGATGTTACCAGGTATTGGATTGGTCAATCAAAATCATTTGATACTGTCCACAAGCAATTAAAAACACAAACATACAGAAATATTCGTTGGTTTTACCTGTTATAATAATCAGAATATCTCCTAATTGCTGCCTCACACAGAATGAAAGATAAATACTACCCGATACGTTTATGTGTGATTTGTGTTAAAGTTATCTCCCTTAAGGATATATGCTACCTTACAATTTTACCTGTGATTTGTATTAGATTGAATTGGTGTTTTTTTTTATACATTTTCCTTCTAATTTGTATTGGAATTAATTATCTGCTTTAGTGATATGCAGTCTTACACATCATACCTGTATTTTGTGTTTAGGTTAATTAATTTCCACTATAATAGTTCACAATTGGGAAGCACGGTAGTCCAGTGGTAGGACGCCGGGCTCGTGACCGAAGGGTTGTGGGTTCGCGCCACGGCACGGCAATGTGTTGTATCCTTGAGCAAGATACTTTACTCCGTTAGTTCCAGTCTACTCATCTGTAAATGAGTACGTGGTTGGGCAGTGCTAGAATTGTTGAATGTTAGCGCCGAAATGGCAGCTCCGGCTGTATGCTCCCGAGGGAGTTGAGAGATGTATTGTCTGGTTGCAAAGGCCCTATACACGGCTAATAATTTGTGAACCACTTTAAGACGACCTACGAACTAGGATGTGATAAAGTGGTATATAAGAACCTCCAATTATTATTATTATTACAATAATTTGATTATCAATTGATAAGTAATTCTTGTGAACATTTCAAAGTGTTTCAATTATTGTTTCACAAAGTCAAAACGTGTTTATTGAAACTCTTGAATAAAAAGAGATACAAGACAAAGTTAGGTAGCATATACCCTTACAAAGTTAGGTAGCATATGCCCTTACAAAGTTAGGTAGCATATACACTTACAAAGTTAGGCAGCATATACCTTTACAAAGTTAGGTAGCATACACCCTTACAAAGTTAGGTAGCATACACCCTTACAAAGTTAGGTAGTAAACACCCTTACAAAGTTAGGTAGCATATATACCCTTACAAAGTTAGGTAGCATATACCCTTACCAAGTTAGGTAGCATATACCCTTACAAAGTTAGGTAGCATACACCCTTACAAAGTTAGGTAGCATACACCCTTACAAAGTTAGGTAGCATACACCCTTACAAAGTTAGGTAACATATACCCTTACAAAGTTAGGTAGCATATACCCTTACAAAGTTAGGTAGCATATACCCTTACAAAGTTAGGTAGCATACACCCTTACAAAGTTAGGTAGCATACACCCTTACAAAGTTAGGTAGCATACACCCTTACAAAGTTAGGTAACATATACCCTTACAAAGTTAGGTAGCATATACCCTTACAAAGTTAGGTAGCATATACCCTTACAAAGTTAGGTAGCATATACCCTTACAAATATTGTTTGGATTTGTATTATTACTGCTCAGTATATAGTGCCATTTGCTTGACCTTATTTAGTTATTTTGATCATTTTAATGCTTGGTTTGTATATATTTGTATTAGAACTCAGTGATGTGATCTTTGTCAGTTAACATGAATGTTTTTTCACTTCTCTAGAAGCCCTAGGGTGATGACATTTGGCCTGTATACCTACTGTAGCTGGATATAGGCCCGTATATATAGTTTGTTAAATACATGATCCTAACCTTTATTGAAGGTCACAGGAGTCAGATTTGTAAAAGTCTTTAAACTACTTCTTCCCAACATGGAACCATAAGACCTTGGGTCATGATATTTGGAAAGCAACTAGCTAGCCATGGGAGGAAGGGCTACTGTTTCTAGCACGTGTTGACCTTTTGTCTGGTACAATTATACTTCTGTGACCGTTACGGCCCATGGGCCTCATGTCTATTACTGAAGACAAAGATACTGATGTACATCAGAGAGAATCCCAGGGTTAGTGGAATACAGGAAATCAATTTTCCCACGCATATAACTCTTCTCAATGATGTATGTAGAGTCCACAAAATGTCATTAAAATCAAACCCTGATTTCACCGACAAGTCCCCGAACTAACTTTCTTTCTGAACTATTCTCAGGTCCTCATGTCCGGGTAATTGCAGGCAATCTGAACTGGATGTTTTTCCAATATTTTCTCAGGCACATATTGATATTGGCAGCTTTTGTTTGAGGTTGACCCTGTAAGTTGTCTAAACTCAATTCAGTTAGCTATATATTATGTACATCTTTACAATTAGAGTATATACCTTGGTACATTTGTCCCAAATGTCTAGATTTGGAACTCTGCATTTTCAGTAAGGTTCATAATCACTTTAGAAATATGTCATATCAAAGTTTATTTTTCACCCAAATAATGTACATATTAATTAAGATGTACATTGTTCGTGGAAATATGTCATATCAAAGTTTTACATATAGATACACTAACAATGTACATATTAATATGTGCATTGTTTGCGTATAAAGTAGGCTTTTGATATTTGGAACTTGGTACCATGCAGGGGTATATACTGGTACAGGGTCAGATTAAAAAATCTGAAATCAATCAATGAATTATATAGGGTGGGTGTCTTATTAAGCTATAGACCTTGAGGTATGTTCGATACATTTCTAAGACAATAAAGTCTTATTATCCAAGTATCAATGATCTTGTTGTTTGTCCTGTTCTAAATCTTTTTTGTTTTTTGTACATGTACAGTACTTCATGGGATTACAGCAGAATGCATTGAATTCCGACCATCTTAGATCGTTATGCCTGCCATTGGTGGGCGTAGAGTTTTAAACCCGACTGTTCCATCCTGCTGAATGGTACTGAGTCAGTGTAATCGATCCAGTGGCTTCATTTCTTGATCAAATTTGATATACAATGGTCAAATAGGAGATCTAGAACACCTTGAATTATTTCTTATTTAAGATTTTCAATGTAAAGTCTAGGGTCATCTGAACTGTTTAATATACAGTACATTTCACTTTATATCATGTCGCTTTTAAAAAATGTCACTTTTTGGTAATTATCATGTTTTCTTAATAATAATAATAATAATAATACTGGACACAGGCATAATGCCTATATATCAAGGTCACAAAGTTTAACATCAGTTTTTGTGATGACGTCCCGAATATGAATATTTTCTAAATGATTTTCTCATTGTGTCGCATTATGGTTAGCATCGGGTTTTCATCTCACAAATGAGAAGTGATATTAAGTGAAATCTACTGTTATTGTCAACTGATTCAGTTACATAACCAGCAACTTCATTTCTTAACGGACATCGTTCATCAAACTCCATACAAAGATGGAGTATGATAAACAAGGACGGTTATTTCAGCGGAAGCTGGAGCATTTATATCTTACATACATTTTCTACCTGTTTATATGTGTTCATGATACAGACGAGTGCAGTAGAAAACACTCAAAATGTTGGT